CTCCTCCTTATGTAAAAAAAAAGGGTTTGAACATGGAAATCACAAAATTCATGAGAGTAGGTGTAAAACAGGGTTTTTCTTGGCTTCCTGTCTGATATGCATGGAAACATACACCCAGCTGATGGCTAATGACTTACTCAGGCCTGATCCCAGAGGATGTGACATTTCCTCTGCCGACTTTCCCTGCCTCCTTTCCCAAGGAGGGACCGGTCGTTACTCTCCCTGACAAGTAGAGTGGCAAGTTCTTTTGTTAACAGGATCAGGAGGACTATATATAATTTTTAAATATATATGCCTGCCTCTGAAATTATCTTATTAAGAATACCTTAATAATAATCCTCTCTTTATTGCAAAAGACACTATTGTACTAGAGTAGCTAGGAAGGAAACACAGCTAATTATCAGGATGAATCATGTAACAAGGTGGAAAGAAGCTCCTTTTTTTTCTTCCCTTCCTGGTTAGGATTAGTATTAGCGGAATACTTTCCATTCTGAAATGAGAAACAGAGGCCTCTCTGTAGGGCAGTTAAGAGATCAGGATGCTTGCGAAAGATGTCACTCCAGATCTCTTCCCACCCATTTTCTGTCTGATTTTCTGTCTTCTGTCTACCCGGTCTTTCCTCTTGGCATGCTGGAAGATCTCATGTTTTTTCTCTGTAGGCACGCGAGGTGGGGGAGGGGGGATTCTGAACAGAGGAGCATCATGATTGACTCAGGCTTTAACTCTGATCTCACCTATCATTCTTTTTAAAAATATATATATATATTTTATTGATTTCTTACAGCAAGGAAGGGAGAGGGATAGAGAGTTAGAAATATCAATGAGAGAGAAACATTGGTTAACTGCCTCCTGGGGATGTGCCCACAACCAAGGAACTTGCCCTTGACTGGAATTGAACCTGGAACCCTTCAGTCCGATGCTCTATCCACTGAGCCAAACCAGTTAGGGCTCACCTGTCATTCTACTGAGATGAGAACAAAGAGGACAGTGCCAGCTGCAGGGAGGTGTGCGGAGGCCAGGGAGGGGCCCCCTGTTAGTTCTCCCTCTGACTTCATGTTCTGCTGCCTACCTCTGGGCCCTGGGCTCCAGCCAACTATTCTCCTTGCTGTTTCTTGAACCTACCCAGGAAGGTTACACATGGGTTGATTGAGCCATTTCCTCCAAGTGGGACATCCTAGGCATCCAAATGGCCTCCTCTCTCACCTTCTTCAGACATCACCTTCTCATGGAGGCCTTCCGTCACCATCCTGATTAAAATGGTTCCTCATTCAAGCCAGGTCCTTCCTCCCCCTTCACTGCCTCTGTCTTCTGCATCAATTATCTGGCACTCTAGATACTTAGTTGATTGTGGTCGTCCATCTTTCCATACATCCAGAGTGGGCGCTTTACGAGGAAAGGCTGGGCCTGTTCACTGCTGTATCCCTGACGCCTACAACTGTATCTGGCACACAGTCGGGTGCCCCAGGGGTGTCAGACATGAGCCCTCCTGGTGCTGCTGTTTCCTAGCAGTGGGACTCAGGGCATCTCACAGGCCGATGCCCACAACCTAGAGCATGTCAGGCAGCATGTGGAAGCACATGTCACTTCAATGGTGCATTCATGCCGGACCCTTCCTGAAGTTTAGTCTCACCTGTCAAGTGCCCTCCAATGCACATACTTCTAGCGGCCATCTTGTTTATGGTCCAGGTCCTGGCCAGCTCTGAAGGTGGATCAGTTGCTGGATGTCCAAAGACCTCATGGCTTTCCAGAGCCCCCTGTTCCCAGGAAGCCCCCACTTCCCCAGCCCACTGTGCAGGCATCATGAGCCAGCATCTGGCAACCACTGGAAACTGTCCATTCCAGTCCCACCTGCTGTGCCCTTTGGGGGGGGGGCGGGGCACAGTCCCTGCCTCGATCTTTGGTTTTTCCTGAGACAGTCGGATAGTGTCAGATAAAGAAGGGGAAACCAGCATTTGCAAATTTGGCTAAAATGGCAGCTATTGGCTATTTTCCCACTCTTCAGAAGAGCAAACTGTGGTTCCTATTTTTATTGTAATTACTCATTCTCCCCTACCTCATTAAGCTTGCTTCTTTCAAGCAGTAAGATTCAACCTGGTTGAATCTGCATAACCTCTTATTTAAAAAAAATATATATATATATATATATATATATATATATATATATATATATATTTATTGATTTTAGAGAGGAAGAAAGAGGGAGAGATAGAAACATCAATGATGAGAGAGAATCATTGATCAGCTGCCTCCTGCACGCCCCCCACTGGGGATCAAGCCCACAACCCAGGCATATGCTCTTGGCCGGAATCGAACCTGGGACCTTTCAGTCTGCAGGCCGACGCTCTATCCACTGAGCCAAACCAGCCAGGGCTTCATAACCTCTTATTATCATCCATCTCTGTTCACGCACAAATAAGTGCCACTTACTGCTCTCCTACCTGGCTCCTTTTGCAAATAAGCTAAATTTTATTTTCTCAGGCTAGAGGGTAACGGGATATCTTGCTGTTTCCAACTTTCCTTGTTTTGCTGGCTTGCAAGTCTGTGAGACTTCAACAAATGTTCTGTGTTCCCAGACCTGTGGTAACAGCTCTTAGTTGGGAAAGGAGGCTGCTGTGAGTGCCACTCTTGGCCCCAGGGTCTCCTGACCTGCCTCCACCAGGCACTGGTTCCAGTGCCTTCTCCCACACACACCCCAACCTGTTTCCCCATTTCTTGGGGAAATAGTGTGACTGTGACTTTGAAAATGCCAAGTTTCCCCCCAAAACCACTCCCCATTATCATCATTATGGAAGCAGAGATGGAATGGAAAGTAGATTGTGAGACTTTAATAAAAATTACTCTTTGCTGGTCTTCAAGAGGCAAAATTTAGATAAGAAAACTTATCAATTATACTTTTGTTTCTTCTCAAAATCTCATGACTGCTCAGTCAAAGGCCCCTTGTTCTAATCTTAAAACATTGTGGACAGTGTCCCAGATGAATGGCAACAAGTCCTGGGGTTAGGAATTTGGATGGTACATTTATTCCCTGGGGGAAGAAGTCCCAGGGTGAGAGGGGGCAGGGTTGGGGGGCAGAATGCCTTATTTGGAGAAGAATTTGATTTTCTGAGGATAATAACGGAGCATCCCTAGTCCTTGTTCTGTTGCTGGAAATAATTATGGTTACTTTTGATTCTGGAACATTTGAGAGAAAAAAAAAAAAGGAAAAGAAATTTGCAGCCTGGGGAATTTGGTTTTGAAATGCAAACACAGGCTGAGTCAAACTTGGGCAGGGCAGCATTTTATTTTGAAAGAGCAGCAGTATGATTTGTCTTTGTTCTCTTGGTGTTTAACCCGGATTCCTGGGCAGCTGGGCAGCACCAGCACATCTCCAGGGATCATGTGGCTGGGCCTTGCTTGGCACACCGCTGGGGCACTCGTGCCCCGGGGGAGGGGCTCCAGCCGAGGCCAGGCTGATTTTCAAGGCAGAATTGGACTCTACATGCTGAAACACTTCGTAACACATAGTGGACAGTGTGGTGATTCGAGGGAGGAAGAGGGATTAGTGGGGAGGGAGGGAGGACAAATGGTGATGGACTTGAGACCTGACTTATAGGGTGGGGAGCATACAGTACAGTGCACAGATGATGTATTGTAGAATTGTGCACCTGAAACTGGTATAATTTTGTTAACCAGTGTCATCCCAATAAAATCAATATAAAGCAGGAGGGGAGAAATAAAAATTCCTATCTTGGGAGGGAAAAGGTACACAGAAGTGGCATTGTAAGTGACATAATTCATAATTTACTTTTCATCTCTTATGGTAGGAAGTACAAAGCCGAGTTCACTTTCTAGAAAAAATTCTGGTCTATTTTCTAGAAAATGGCATTTTTTTCACTGCAGAAGGGTTTTCTTTCCAAATGAATACGCTTTCTAGCAAGAGTTTTGAAGTCACAGAGACAGAGGTTGAGAAATGATGATGGGCAATGGCAGACGTCAAATTCAAGGAGGAAAAAGTCATAGTGTGTCATAAGAGAACGTTATGATAGAACAGCCAGAATGACTAGTTCACCAGTCACTATGATGCACACTGACCATCAGGGGGCAGAAGCTCAGTGCAGGAGCTGCCCCCTGGTGGTCAGTGCACTCCTACAGCCAACCTCCTACAGCTCCTTCCCACAACCAGCCAGCTCCCTCCCCCCCACTTGGCCCCCATCGGAGGCTGGCTGGCCAACCTCCTGCAGTCCCATCCCCCGGGCCCTGGTTGGGGGGAGGAGGGGGTGCAGCAGGCCAACCTCCTGTGGTCCCTTTTCCCCTGCCAGCTGGCAGCCTCCCCACCCCCCAATAGATCTTGATTGTTAGTCAAACCAAGGGACTTAACAAATGCACAAATTCATGCACCAGGCCTCTAATCTATTCATAACAAAGCCCATCCTGGCATTCATGTAGAATTCAGCAGTTTCTCTGCACCAAATCAAGAATGGGATGCTGAGTACAGGAAGCCTTACCTCTCGTATTCATTACTAACCAGAGGAATGCAGGGACACTTTTAATCTACGACCAGGAAAGCCAAGCTGTGTTACTATAATAGAATCACAACCGTCATAGCCGGTACGGGTGACTGACCTGCAGTATGCTTGTGTGCACAAAGGGCAGGCTGTGGGAGGTGGACTGTGTGTCACAGAATCATGTGAAACAATCGGAATAATTACTGTTGCCCAAGCATGCAGCCAGAGGAGAGATCAGTGACGCAGACACTGGGCCTGTTTTGGAAATGTTCTAAAACCAGACTGTGTTAGCACAGCGAGCCGTTTTAAACACGGCCGACCGTGTTTGGAGACAGAAACACACACCCTTTTATTAGGAACATGAAACAAACCCTTTGAGCGGCAGCACCACGGCGGGGCGAGGTTAATTGCTGGGAATGAATAAATCACAGTTGCCAAAGCGAAGTTCCTGGCAGGAGGCTTTATTCAGCTGTTCTTCCCCGGGCCCCGTTACATTCCAGATTTACGGCCTCCATCATGCCCGGAGCCTGCGGCCCCCTCGCGCTCCTCCTCTGCGGCTGCTGCGCGGCGGCCCTGGGCGCCCACACCCACCCCGGGGAGCACGGCGCGGCGGCGGACTTGGAGGACGGCGACCCCGGACAGTACGTGGCCGCGGTGTACGAGCACCACTTGATCTCCAGCCCAAACCCGCTCGCTCCCACCAGCCGCAGGCAGGCCTTGGAGCTGATGAACCAGAACCTGGACGTCTATGAGCAGCAAGTGATGACCGCCGCCCAAAAGGCAAGGCGTGCTTCCCGGGGCAGAGCCCCGGCTGGTCCCCCAGAACCGGGGAAGGTGCCCTGCAGGCCCGGGTCAGGGGTTCCTGCGGCCCCTCTGCAAAAGCTCCTCTCCCGTGGCTGAAGCAGACAGTTGGCGAGAGCGTGGCTGCTCAGAGAGGGGTCTGTGGTCTGTGGACCAGCAGCAGTGGCGGCAGCAGCTCTTCCGAGCCTGATACATGCAGAATGTGGGCCCTCTCCTCCCAGACCCGCTGAATCACACCTATGTGTTAGCAAAGAACGTTTTTTTCACTGCAAGTCCCAGAAGCCAGGGCTGGGTCCCTGGTCTCAGTGGAGCAATTGCTTGGCCGGTTTTAAACAAGGGTGGGTGCCTAGGTCCCACGCCTGCAGAGCTGGATGGGCCATGGGCCGGCAGGTTGGGCCTTGGGATTTCGAAGGCTTCCCGGTGGATTCCAATGGGCAGGAAATCTGAAAACCACCAGGCCCGGTGGCGTCTCCTGCCCTCTGAGGCATTCTGAGTTGCTCCAAAATGGGAGGCATCCACAGAACGGCTGTTTACTGCCTTCGGAGGATCTGGGATTTATTTCTGGCCTCGGGGCCAGACCGTGAACAGCCCTGAGAACTCAGTGCAGACAGCGCTGGGGCCAAAGGGAGCTCGGTGCCAGCCTTTGTGGAGGCTTCCTGCTTGGCCCGCGTTGCCAGTGCCTGCCCGGAAGGGTGGGGCAGGGAGAAATGTCGGTGCCGGATATTACTATAAGAAAATGCCCTGATGGGAAACCCATAGCCAGCGGGAAGTTTGGGGTTTAGCCCTGATGGTGGGGTGGGAAGCCCAGCTGCTGGAGGAAGCCCTGTCCTGCCTCCACGTGAGAAGAATGCCCCTGTGTCTGTCTGGGAGTTTAGGGGATGGAACCAGTCATGCCGAAAGGTCCTGCCCCCGGAGGTCCCTGTCTCTGGACAGCACTCTCGATGACTACGTTGAAAAATTTTAGCTTACAACGCACGTGAGCGCGCGCACTTACACACACACAACACTAATGTTGGAAGGGAACTTAGGGACCTGGTGCAACTTCTGACGGGTGGCACTTCTCTCTGTTGTTCCCATCCTGACATCCGGTTTCTCCTTAAACATCCTCCATGGCCCAGAGCTCCCGTCCCACAGGTCAGGGTGAAAAAACCAGCTTAACGACATGAGACCGGTCAGTCTCCTGGGTTGGCAACCATAATTCCTCAGGACTTCTGGATCTCAATGAGTTATCAGAAAGTTGCTCAAGTCACTTGTCAGGAATGTTACCTACTTTCTAAACGTTCCCGCAAAGGATTGGTAATGCTTCAGACCCAACATTCTGCCAGCTCAGGTTTGGTTCCTCTTCTCATTCCTGGCAGATGTGGACTCAGGACATCCAACTCGATTTTAATATTAATCTAATATAACGTCAATGTCATTTTCCATTTTAAAAAAAACCATTCAGTACTCTCAAAGTTTTGTTTTTACTAAAGGAAATCAAGTATAATTTTCAAAAAGTTAAAAACCATCAGTCATATAAATACAGAATGAACATGTGTCAACGCTTTTATTGAACTCATTAATTTAGTAAGGAACCAGTAAGATGACAAAGCTCGTTTAACTGAGGATAGTGTGTGCCCAGATGAATGTGAAAGTGAATTTGTCAATAGGTACAAAACTGGCCAGTGTCCTGCGGGGCAGTACAATTGGTCTTTATTAAATAGCAAAGTCAAACAGTGGTACATTCACTAGAGAAATAGTCTTTGAGTGAGTTAATATCCTAGAACAGTGGTCGGCAAACTCATTAGTCAACAGAGCCAAATATCAACAGTACAACGATTGAAATTTCTTTTGAGAGCTAAAATTTTTAAACTTAAACTTCTCCTAATGCCACTTCTTCAAAATAGACTCGCCCAGGCTGTAGTATTTTTGTGGAAGAGCCACACTCAAGGCGCCAAAGAGTCTCATGTGGCTCGCGAGCTGCAGTTTGCCGACCACTGCCCTAGTATATCTTGGAAAGGCTTAAATTCTTCCTCTTGCTTTATTTCCAAGTTTTCAAAAATGTTCCCTTACATTCATCTCATACTCTGCTGCAGGAGTGTCCATTGGTATAATTTTTCTGGAAAGCTCTTTGGCAATGGATGTTAGGAACATACAGCTTCTCCTGCCCTTGACATAGTACTCTCACTTATAATCAAAGATCCAATAAAAAAAATAATAAGATCCAATCAAAGATTTGTGTACAACACTCATTCACGAAGTGTTTTGAACACCCTGTATGCAGATGGTCACCACTGGTTTTTTTTATTACAAAAATCAATTCAACCTTTCAATAACATAATAGACTGTGGTATCCTCTTAAATGTGGCCATTACAAATGATATTTTAAGGTACCTTTGTAGTCTTGATGTTTTATGTAGTGAGAAAGTCAAGATGGAAAACTCTTATTATCTCAATTAGACACACACAGAGAATGAAAAGAGCCAGCGTATTAACAATAAGTATCTTTATGTCACAGGATTGTGAATTCTTACTTTATATTTTCTGTCTTCTATGTTTTTTACAGTTAAACTTGTGAGGATTTTATAACCAGAAAAAAAAATGTATAAAGAAAGTTTTCAGTGCATTCCAGAAATAAGTGACTCATATGGCCCATTATTTTTGATTATTCGTGCTTCCTCTGCCTTCCTCCCCCCTTTCACTTTGGGGCAATATCCCAGGCTTGACATCTGAAGCCACGGAGGTGGAGAATAGCAGAAGCATGAGGCCCTGGTCCTGAGAGCTGAGGGCTGTCCAGTTTGTTTGGATTTTCGTAAATTGCTGAGGCATCACAGGGAGCCCAGCCCAGGTGTCTCCAGGGAAAAGGCTCGTAGTGTGGGCAGGATTCTGAAGGGAGCCTCCAGTGCCCAGTTGGAGAATTGCAAGTTAGAGCAAGTCCTTGTTTCTCTGCTGAAATCAACACGCTGGACTCTTACCCACCAGCCCAGGGGGTCCCAGCCTTGGCTGCACATTAGAATCACGTGGGAACATTTAAACAAGCACTGTTGCCAGGACCCCATCCATGATCAATCCAAGCAGACTTGAGTATGGTCCCCCAGCATCACCGCCACACAGGAGTGTTTTTCAGAAGTTCTTTTTTAAAATCTTTTTTTTTTTTTTAAATATATTTTACTGATTTTTTACAGAGAGGAAAGGAGAGAGATAGAGAGCCAGAAACGTCGATGAGAGAGAAACATTGACGAGCTGCCTCTTGCACACCGCCTACCAGCGATGTGCCCGCAACCAAGGTACATGCCCTTGACCAGAATCGAACCCGGGACCTTTCAGTCTGCAGACTGAGGCTCTACCACTGAGCCAAACCGGTTTCGGCTGTTTTTCAGAAGTTCTGCATCTGATCTCAACGACGCACAATGAGGTTAAAAACTACTGGCCTGGAGCTTCCACATCTGTTAATGAGCCCAGTACTCATGGCCTTTTGTAGTTGGCCCTGTCTCCTACTGCACCGCCAAGAACGCCAAACCCCTCACTGTTTGCTTGTCAAACCCCTGCTTCCTTCAACCCTCCTTCCCTGGATACGTCCCCAGGTACGTGGCTGTTCCCAGATGACTTTGTCTTTGTTCCCTCAGAATTAGGGTAAGTGAGGCAGCTCCCCCAGGACTAAGTTCAGCCACCGGTTTTTAACCTCTGGGTCCTGCCTGGTACACAGCAATTGTGATGACTGTCAGGTGAATGAGTGAATGAATGAATGAATGCAGTGGTACTTCCCATGGTCTGATAACATACTGTCTACTTGGATGTTTTTTACTTACAGGGAGTACAGATTATAGTGTTTCCAGAAGATGGCATTCATGGATTCAACTTCACAAGAGCATCCATTTACCCATTTTTGGACTTCATGCCGCCTCCCCCGCTGGTCAGATGGAACCCATGTCTGGAGCCCCACCGATTCAATGACACGGAGGTGTGTGAGTGTCCCAGCCGTCCTCTCATGGCCAAAGGCATCCAAAAATGAACCAAGCCAGGGGCCTAAAGCCAAGACCCTAGGGTCCTAAGAAATGAAACACAAACTCCCCAAACTTCGTGTCCCACACATTTATCCTATTAAAGAATGTCAGATATCACGAGCCATTTGCTCATTTATGGGTCATGCTACTTATCAGTTATGCAAGAAATACAGAATAATTGCTTATAGAGCGAATAAATGAAAGCCAGCCTACACTACACCACACTCTCATCCTACTTTTCCTTCTACGAGAAACTGCCATCAACAATTTGATGTGCATCCAACTATCTGTTCTTTTCTATGAATTTTATAATTACTCTCCTTTTTTTTTTAACCTTCTATATGGTTGCTCTTTTTTAACTCTTGCTATTATAAGGAGTGTCTCAATGAATATCCTTGTAGACATATTTTTGTAAACATGTCTAAGTTTTTCTGAAAGTGGGAGTCCTAGAAATGGAATTTCTCAGCAGAAGGATAGTTTAAATTGTTTTAAAGATTTTTATTTCACTTTACATCCCCAGTGACTGTGTATGAGTGCCTGTTTTCCCACCCTTTTGGTCCATGTAAGATAGAATAATCTTTTGTATTTCTGCCAATCTTATGAAAGTAAAAAAAAAAAAAAAAAAATCTCCATTATTTTAATTTGCATTTCCTTAGTACTTATTATTTGAGCATCTTCTCAGACATGTGTTGGCCATTTGTATTTGTTCTTTGAGGTCTTCTTATCCTTTGTACAATTTCAGTGGTGGTTGCTTTGTATTGATTTATGATAGCTCCTTATATATTATAGACACCATACAGGTACTTTTCTATTTTAAAATTACATTACCAGCCAAAACTGGTTTGGCTCAGTGGATAGAGCCATCAGCCTGCGGACTCAAGGGTCCCAGGTTAGATTCTGGTCAAGGGCATGTACCTTGGTTCCTGTGGCAGGTGTGGAGAAGGCAGCTGATCAATGTTTCTCTCTCCTTCATGTTTCTCTCTATCCCTCTTCTTTCCTCTCCGTTAAAAAAAAAAAAAATCAATAAATTTAAAAATAAATAAATAAAATTACATGGCCAAAGGCAGAATGTTATAATAAAAACCCATCGACTTAGACACTTGTTTCTGCCTTATCCCCCCCCCCCCCTCCAGGTCCTCCAGCGCCTGAGCTGTATGGCCATCCAGGGGGGGCTGTTCCTGGTGGCCAACCTGGGGACGAAGCAGCCCTGTCATCGCGGCGACCCGCGGTGCCCACGGGACGGGCGGTTCCAGTTTAACACGAACGTCGTGTTCAGCAGCAACGGGACCCTCCTGGGCCGCTACCGCAAGTACAACCTCTACTTCGAAGCGGCCTTCGACACCCCTCCCGACGTGGACCACACGGTCTTCGACACCCCCTTCGCCGGCAGGTTCGGCGTCTTCACCTGCTTCGACATCCTGTTCCTCCGCCCCGCCGTCGAGCTGCTCCTCCGGGACCCCGGGGTGCGGCACGTGGTGTTTCCGGCCGCCTGGATGAACCAGCTGCCGCTCCTGGCGGCCATTCAGATCCAGAGCGCCTTCGCCAGGGCCTTCGGGGTCAGCGTCCTGGCCGCCAACCTCCACCAGCCGGCCCTGGGGATGACGGGGAGCGGCATACACACGCCTCTCACGTCCGTCTGGCACCACGACGCGGACAGCCTCACAGGCCACCTTCTCGTGGCCCCGGTGGCCAGGAACCCGCAGCGTCTCGGCGCAGAGAATGCCACCGGGAAGACGGACCCGTCCCACAGCAGGTTTCTGAAACTCCTGGCGGGCGATCCCTACTGCGAGAAGGACTCTCAGGAAGTCCATTGCGACGGAGCCGCCCCGCGCTGGAACACGGAGGCCCCTCCCGTGTTTCACGCCGAGATGATGTATGACAACTTCACCCTGGTCCCCGTGTGGGGCCGGGAGGGCCACCTCCGGGTCTGCGCCCGTGGCCTCTGCTGTCACGTACTTTACCAGAGGCCGTCCGTGTCCGGCGAGCTGTACGCCCTCGGGGTGTTCGACGGCCTTCACACCGTGCACGGCACCTACTATGTCCAGGCGTGCGCCCTGGTCAAGTGCGGAGGCCTCGCCTTCGAGACCTGCGGCCAGGAGGTCACCCAGGCCGCCGGGCTGTTCGAGTTCCACCTGTGGGGGAACTTCAGCACGTCCTACATCTTCCCAATGCTCCTGACCTCGGGGATGACCCTGGAGACCCCGGACCAGCTGGGCTGGGAGAATGACCACTACTTTCTGAGGGAGCGCGGACTGTCCTCTGGCCTGGTGACGGCCGCCCTGTATGGGCGGCTGTACGAGAGGGACTACGGGAAGTGAGGGCTGGGCTCTGGCTACCATGGTCACACAGCCCTGACCTGGCACAGGCCACAGCTCACAGCGCTGGGACCACCTCTTGCCCATCCTGGGGGCTGAGGGGGAAGAAATAGGGGAGGCAGATTCCCCCAGCGCCTCTCTTCCTCTTCCATGAAAAATATTGAGCCCTTTTTTTTTTTTTTTTTTTTCTACCCACGTGTATCTTTCCCAAGCCACATCTTCCTCCAGCAGATCTCTCGTTACACAGTTGGCGTGGAGAGTCAAACAAAATAAATGACTGTTTATACTGTACACATCCACAAGGCGGTGGGGAGTGTGTGTGTGTTTCCCTTGTTCTTACTGTTCAGGGACACCCAGGGCGTACAAGTATTTCACAGGCCTCACACATTTTCCAGGGGAAGAAACAAACTCTCAAAGAAAGCAAAAGCTGCGTTAGAAAAGGCTGCCCTGGACCCTCTTTCCATTCTGGGCGGCCAAGCTTCTATCCAGAGGAAATGCTAATACCGGAGCCGCCAGAAAGGTGGATTTTGGAGCAGCCTTTAAAAAAAGAAGGGATGCCGAAACCTGCCAGGGATCGCCTGCCAGGAGTTTTAAAAACCCGGTTTGGCTCAGTGGATAGAGCGTCGGCCTGTGGACTGAAAGGTCCCGGGTTCGATTCCGGTCAAGGGCATGTACCTTGGTTGCGGGGACATCCCCAGTAGGGGGTGTGCAAGAGGCAGCTCATCGATGTTTCTAACTCTCTATCTCTCTCTCTTCCTCTCTGTAAAAAATCAATAATATATATATATATATATATTTAAAATAATAAAATAAAAACAGAAGGGACCTTTTCCTCACATCTGCCTTTCTGTGCGTAAAGGGAATGTGCAACTGGACTCAGTAACTGGAAGAAAGAGTGCAGCGCCCAGAGAGGGGGGATGAGGTGGAAAAAGTGCTGGAGAAAGGGCACCAGCAGGAAGGTGTGAGTAATCGGATTCTTTCTGCACAACGTGTCTCACCAGGGATTCCAGGGCCTTAATAAATCACACTCGCTTTGGGCAAGAGCCCTGCCATTGCCCAACATGCAGGATGGAAAAAGGCTGGTAGAATTCAATCTTCCCCCTCTCCCCAACATCTACCGCCTTCCATTAGCAGAGAGACACTGTACCTCTTGCAGAGAAGTTGCCAGATCTCCCACTTTAGTCATTCATTCATTGGATCACTCAGCAGGTGTCTGGATGTTGGGGGAGTGGGGGGACCCCCCCCAGTAGGTACAGAGCAAGGACCTCCCACATGTTAGTTCCAGATGCAAAACCACTGTATCCAGCGTGTCTGTATTACTTGTGTCTGACATTTCCAAGTCAATCTGACTCTGTGCCTAGTCACTGTTTCCAATCATTTTTAATGTGGAAAATGGATCATTTTTAAAGATGGGTAATTAGCCGCCTGTGGTTTGCCTCTCCAATGTTGTAGCTATTTAGTTATATTCCCTTTTTTAATTAGGTTTTAAAAAAGCAGTATGTGCCTATGCACAATCCTATAAGGTAAAGGATGACATTTCTTCCTCACCCCCCTGCAGTGTCCCGACCTTTTTTTCTGGCTTTTAGGCAGGAAAATAAAAGAGCATAGATCCTACAGTCAGACCGGCTGGGTTTACTGTCCTGGCCTCACTGTTTACCCTTCACCACACAGACCTCGGACCGTCTATTTATTGAAACCCTGTTATGCCTCAGTTCTCTCTTTGGGAGGCTGTGCATTGAACAGTCCGTGTGGGAAGAAGCGAAGTCCCCGCTGGCTTCTGACTCACCGCTGGCCCACAAAGGCCTGGAATGAGTCACATCTTCAGGGAATGAGCAGGAACCGCTCAGATTCCAGAGGAAGCCCCGGGAAATCCCCCCGGAGCGGGAGCGGGGACCTCTCCCACCAGACAACAGAGCCGGCCTGCCCTCCCTGGGGCAGACCCACCCGCTGGGCTGAGCCGGCAGGAGCATGTGGCTCCGGCTGTGGCCGGCTGCCACCCACTTCGCCTCCCTGCCCCAACCCTCCAGGGAACAGAAAGTATCTTAAAAATGCATATTGTTGCTTTCAGCCAAGATGATTCACATCAGCCTGAGAAAGAGACGGAGAGGCTAGTCCCAAACACAGACTCGGTGGAACCACTTCAGCCAGAAACCATTTATGACTGTCCTGCTGGATGCACATGCCGCCCTTCGGAGCAGAGCACTAGGACTCTTACCCGAGCTACTTCCTACTGACAGTTCGGAACAAACTGTTCACGAAGTGGGAACGAGGGGGAACTAAGCAATGGCGGTAAAACAGAATGATTTTTTTACAATGAAAGGCGGCAGCTGCCAGATGGCAGACCCAAGTAGAGGATGGGAAAATGAGTGAAATTATTTTCAGGGGGAAAAAAATAATACACCTATGACTAACGGTTGGGATATGCCTTTGTCAACCGTGGTCCTGACATTCAGGAAACAAATGGCGATCTTGACGATAACACAGAGGCAGGAAATGAAATGTATTTTTGGTCACATCAGCCTTGGGGAAGTGGCTTGGTCCCTGTGGTTTCTCATGGAGGTGCAGCTGGGCCAGTCTGTGGTTTTCCTCGCAGAGGAAGTGAGAGACAAATGAGCTGTGTGCCCACGGGACTTACACATGCCAGTTCCTAGAGAAGGCACACCACGCCCTGCCTGCAGACTGTCCAGTCCCAGCATCCACCCAGCGCCCCCGGGGAGAGCCTGCCCACAGCCACTGCTGAGGGAGACCCACCTGGGCCACCCCTGAGCCACAGGCGGCCCAGCTCAGTACCTGTGGACACTGCACGGCCAGAAGCCCTGCTCACAGAGTGACAAGGGGGTCAGCACACACTGGGATTTGCAGTGATATTCTGAAATGCCATCAAACACCCACTAAATGAACAAACATCTTCTTGACAAAGTGGATTTATGTATTGAAAAACTTCTTTTAAAAGTTGTAATTGTTGTGTAAATTTTGTTTTTGTTTTGCAATGTTGTGCAAAAAGGCCCAGATTGAAAACAAATGCTGATGTGACAGGAAGACCTGTGAGCAGGACTGGGCGCCTCAGCCTTCACTGCCAAGTCTCCTTCCTTGTGTGAGTTACTGATTCCTACATAACAATTAGCCCCAAACTTAGTGACTCAAAACAATCACGGACGTGAGTGATTCACCATTTCTGTGGGCCGGGCGTCTGGGAGTGGGTTAGCTCAGGGCCTCTCATGAGGCTGCAGTCAGCTGAAGGCGTCCCTGGAGCTGGAGGATGTTTTGGTAATTGTGTCCCCCCGAAAAGAAATGAAGTCTGAACCCCCAGGACCTCGGCATGTGATCTTATTTGGGAATAAGGTCTTTGTAGATGGGATTCAGATGAGGTCAGACCAGAGGAGGGCGACCCCTCCATCCAATATGACCGGTGCCCTTAGAAGAAGACACAGACACACCTCAGACAGAGTCATCCACCAGCCCAATGTGATGTGGGCTAGGGGTTCTCACGGGTGGCCCTAAGCCAGCAGCACCAGCAGCTCCTGGGAACAGATTCTTGAACTCCACCCCAGACTTGTTGAATCAGAAACTTGGGGGGTAGGAGTGGGGGGGGGGGGCAGCCATCTGTGTTTTAAGAACCCTCCAGGTGACCCTGACCCTGGTCATGCTGTGCATCTTTCAAATGCACAGATATGCAGGCCTTAGTCATCAGCACCTCACACTAGTTCTCTGAAACAGGCACGTGTGCCCATTTTACAGAAGAGGAAACTGAGGTTTGGAAGGGACGTGCCTTGCCCAAGGCTAAACAGCAACCCATAACAGAGTTAGAGGGTAGAATTCCCACCCCAGGATCCATGCACAGCTGGAGTTTCCAGATTGCCAACCCGGAACTCTCATTGCTCCTCCTCTCCTTGTTTTAGTTGCTTTTTTTTTTTTTTTTTTAATATATTTTATTGATTTTTTTACAGAGAGGAAGAGAGAAGGATAGTTAGAAACATCGATGAGAGAGTCATCGACCAGCTGCCTCTTGCACACCCCTACCGGGGATGTGCCCGCAACCAAGGTACATGCCCTTGACCGGAATCAAATCCAGGACCTTTAGTCTGCAGGCCTACCAGAATCAAACCCAGGGACCTTTCAGTCCGCAGGCCTACGCTCTAACCACTGAGCCAAACTGGTTTCAGCTCCTTGTTTTAGTTTTTAACCCATTATTACCCTTTCTGCGTGACATTTTGTCATCCAAATATATTGCTCTACTTTTTATTTAACCAAAGACAGATTAGTAGGAAAATATAGTTCGTAGTTAAATAAGCCTGCCCTTCATCAGGTTCTATGTAATTTTGAAAGTCCATGGAAGGCTTCTTGTGAATGTAGGAAGCTTATGGAATCAATGAGTTTATTTGCAGTTATTTTGAGAATAATCCCTTTACTCAGGCCCAGTGTGAGAACTGGCAGTGGTATGTTCTTGACATCTTTTAATCTGGGGCTTCAACACTTGAATAACATATGTTGTTGGTTGCTTTTTTTTTTTTTTAAATGCTAACTGGATGTGTCTATTTCAAACCTTCTATTGCATTGAATCCTCCATGCAAGCCCGATGATTCATTTTATCATTACTCTAAGTGCTCACAAATTTCTGAAATACTAGCATCTGATTTAGGCAGGACCACATCTTTGATGCTATGCCCTTTAACTTCAGGACTTGGTTTGTAGTTTATCTTCTGAATCCCAAATCTATCACCGTAGGGTTCTGATGTGTTAACTAGAGACAGCATTACAGTAAAGCAAACACACCGCCTTTCTCATTTCCACACTCTAAATATACCTACAGGAAGTGCAAATGATCAGCACTCTATGTTTTCTGTTACTGGAACCTGCTGGTTGAAATTCATACCACTGATCTGGAAAAAAAAAATTACAGGGTTCTAAAGATAAAGTTACGTACAGGTGGTTTTAAAATAAGATCTGGACATCTAGTTCTTTAAAAATTGTTGATTCAGCAATGGCTATCTTACAACTCACAT